TTGGTCTTCTTTCGTCGGCAGGAATACGATCACCTTATTTTCATGTTGAGAGGAATGGACTGCATCCCCTCGTGAATCCCTTTCCTACCAAAAGGCATGTTGTGACGATGTCTTTCATGAATCGAGAATGATTCCAACGTGCACTTGTCCAAACGGAGACAGTCCTGGAGTACATGTTCATCTGTTGAGAGATTAATTCCTCCGATTCCTAGTGTCAGGGACATTCTCTCTCGAATATTAACAAGAATGTTAGGAAACATTGCTGCAAATTTGAGTTTCTTGTTGACAACGAATTCTGGTTACATTCAATGCAATAGAAGCTGGTAATGTTTAGTCATAACTCACCTGGACCGAGGGGAATATCTTAAAGGGTTTCTTCCTCTACCTACGAAGTGAATGTTATCTTCACTGGTATTCACTTGGGTCTGAGATGCTTTCTGACTCTGTTAACAGTTCAGCTCAACAATTCAGAGAGCCATGCAGTAATTGACAGTGCAGATCCGATTGCCGCTGTTGTTATGGGTAGTAGGCCAATATGCATGAAATTATCCTCTTACGTCTTGTCCGCACTCATGGCCGACTGTTTTTCTGGGATCTCCTTTTGATAGGAGGATATTTTCTGGGGCACCACTCTGAAATCGAATTAGTGACGAGTCTTCGCTCACAAATTCTTTCCTGATTCTTACACTTGACAGGGCCGTTATTTCCTTGGCTGGACGCTCAGTAGCCCTCTACTATTCTCTGACATGAACCAGGAAGGCATCAATAGGCCTTGGTAGCGCCTATTACCTTTCTTCAACCCCTTCCCGCGACAAAATTCAAACTCCTCGTATTCCTCTCTGAGCGCATCAACAGGAAAGAAATTTGGCATGCTTCTTCCTCTCTCAATACAGAATCGCTCCAGCATGTTTGAAGTTCCATCTCCCCGGGAGTTGTGGAGATCACTGAATCCCGCTTTTCGAATGTGTGAATATCATTCCTTTTTTGTGGGCCTCCTTTCCTGAAAGGAAAGAGACCACTCCTAGTCCCGTGTGTCATACTTTGGTTGTCCGACGATGACTAAAAAAATATTGTTCTGATCAATGCGAAAATTGTTAAGCGGGTAGATATGAACAATATACAGGCTGTTCGTTTTGTGGTGAATTTGCACAAAAGTTGCTATTACAAATTTTGGATTTGATTTTTGCTAACGGAGGGGAAGCCATGTCTGAACCCCAAAAAAATCCCAGAGAGACTTCCTGGAATTACTTCTGTTATTAAATCCTCGGCTGAAAGTCTAATTTTTAAGTATTCATCCTGGAAAGTCTGAATAGGCGCTGAGCATTTTTCTTTCTGCATAGCAGTGTGGAGAGTGTGAGAAGTTTGCATACATGGGACAACTGAAAGCATATGAAGGGATTGGGTCATTGGATTGGGACATTCGGGATCACCTCAAAATATACGTGGGAGCCAACTGCAAGAGGCCGTTGAAGAAGGCGGCAGAAGAGTATGTGGCACTGAATTACCCTGAGGCCTGCAGCAAGGCGTATTCCCTACCCGAAGACTTCTTACTGAGTAGCCAGAAGTTCAATGAACTGAGTAAAATGGCCCACAAGGGTGACACGGATATGCCATTAGATCAGTATTCCGTCGCCCTAGTCTTTGATCAGGTCAAGAATATATTGAAGGAAGGTCCATCTCTCACGGTTTTTGACTATGCCTTCACAGACACAATGTTGAAAGGTATCAATCCAAAAAGTAAAAAGAAATTAATTCAGGACTTCAACGTTCCTGAAGAATGCCTGCCATCTGGTGACCATGATGTCTTTGGTATTGCAATATCTGGAAAGTATATCATTGGCCTTTTTTTCCAAATTAAGGCAGTAACATCGAAGACAGCGAAAAAAACCACTTCTAGTCGATTTAGAGAAGCAGCAACGCAGGTTGAGAAGGACTTCAAGGTATTCAGGACCATGTGCAGTAAATTCCTGAGTCCAATCGTAAAAATTGCTGGTTTCGTAGCTTTCCCGGTTATTTCGAAGCCAGACTTGCTGAATTGTATCAAGTGCCGAGAATGCCGGGAACGGATCCTAACCATGGAAGATCTGCACGACCGAAAAAGTTTCAAGGCGTTTCTGGGAAGACACGGAATCAAGTTGGAGAAGCCGCGGGGCGTGGATAATGATTTTACTGCTATGAAGACCTACAAGGACATCTTTGACCTGTATGTTTGTGCTGCTTCCTTTGTAGACCTACCACGTAACGTCTCTCAGTTGCACGAAAAGAACGAGAAACATATGCAGCCAATGCTGGTGGTCCTCACTCCACAACAGAAGGCCTTAGTGGAGGAAAAGTCCAATATCATATTCACCTGTGGTGGAAGTGGAACGGGAAAAACTTTCGTCCTCAAAAAAAGAGCGGTAAACTTGGCGAAGGATAGTAAAGTGTTGCTGATGAACCTCGCCGGAGGACAACTCACTGAGGAATTCCGACGTGACTTCAAAGGTGAGGTAAATGGTTCCGGGTCATATTTGGCCAAAAATACTCTGCCTGGTGTCATGATGCATCAATATAAATGTCATGTTCATATTAGATCAGAAAATTAGAAAACCAGGAGCAAGTACCTGTAATAAGTCCATTCCATAGAAAATGTCTATGAAAAGTAACTAGCCCCTCAAACCAGTATTCCGAGTTCGTACTCTAACCTTGCTAAACTATTGCCGGTGAATAGGATAAGAATGATAAGGGTTAAGTTGCGATTTTTTTTCTGTGTCAATGCGGCACACAGTTAAATCTATATTTAAAAAAAAAAAGCCTCCATAGGGAGGGTTACTTCCAGAGAAATTTCCGGCTTCAAAATACGAAAGAGAGGATAAAAACCAGGTGGGAGCGGGCACCATAGGGTAATATGGGTCTGGCTGTCTGGAGCTTACCTGTAGTGATAAGGATGGCATGGAGAGGAACGATCAATGTCCTGGGTTCTTTGGTGCAGTGGTTGCACGCATGACCGGATGCAGGCCCGGGTTCGATCCCCTCCGAAAGCAGGAGAGTACGGTAGGTTGGAAGGGGAGGGTCGGCAAGAGTACTGTTGACAACAGTCCTCACCCTATATCGCTTCGCAGCCGAGAAGGAAAGAAGGAACATCTGTTGCACTTATAGGTCATCATTGATGGGAGGGAGAAGAACCTGGAGGAGGATCTTGATGCATTGAGAAAGTGTCTTTTAAATGAAGGGAAAGGGAAACATGTTCTCATGGATGAGGTTCCCATCACAATAGGATTCCAGGACGTCATTACGCCAGAGGCCCTTTCCATGCACTGGAAATGGATCAAAGACATTGAAAATGATGTCAAGTCAATCACTGTTTCCTTCAGGCCCTATGATGAGACCTACACGAGGGATTTCCCCCTCGAGGATATGAAGCTGGCCGAAACGTGTAACGTCACGATTCTCAAAAGCGTGAAGAGGAATACTCAACGTATATCCAAATTATTCAAGGCCATTGGTGAGTTCTCCCGGCGCGTTTTCTTGTCATCTGAGCGTTCCTTGGTGATGGACGTGGAGGACCTCAACGGGGGATTTCTTCCCCGCTTATTCACGATTCTATCGTGTCAGGCTCTGCATCGCGAATGCAAGAATGAGGCGATCTGTGAGGCTGTTCGGGCCTCACACGTCATTCACGCCATTTATGAGGAGTGCTGTCAATCACCGAAGAAGATTCCCATCTTCGTTGTGGTTGATACTGAGAAGAGAAAGATGGCTCTTGCGAACATATTTTCATCCCAATACGATTCCATTCCTGTCCTCTTTCACGACTCCAGCTATAAGTTTGATTACGCTAGTGACCCTGACAGGAATAACATATGTTGGCCCTTGCGTGGGAAGTCAGCTCAATGCGGCTCCATCCACCTTTTCATAGTCACCGAAAAAGAAATGATGGGATGCCATCCAAAGAACGTTATAATAGTTGCAGATTTCCCAAATTCGCAGTGGACGAACTACTCTCGATTAATAGCAACCACTGGTTCAGGAAACAAGATCCTACTGATTGAGGGTGAAGAGTTGAGAACTGGGAGGTTTTCTCGCGTCACAAAGGATATACATGGATGGAATATCAACGAGGAAAACATGGAAAATTACAGAAATCTCAGGCAAAGGCTGGAGACAGCATTTTCTCTTTTTACACATTTTTCTCTTTTTCCGAAGGGAGGGATGGGATATTATTATAGAGACATACCAACGTATCCCCAACCTTTCCCTGAAATGGATATGGGCCAGGACGAAAGGAGGGAAGATGACAATGAGGAAATTGAGAAACTGTTCAGAGTTTCTGGAAAAGGTTTAGAGAGGACGGTTGAACGCAGGATGATTGGTATATTCGGTCCCCCAGCATCGGGAAAGTCCAAGTATGTGGATATGCTGATGAGGCAAGCTGCAGAACATGAGGACCAAGTCCTTCTCCTACATCCCCAAGGTCAGCTGTATCCAGAATTCTTTCGGCAGCGCTGGGGACAAAATCGGAATATGGATATTATATATTATTCAACCAAGGAGATCTCTCTTCAAGAGATCATCGAACTCAATGTGATGGAATTTCAGCGTAAGGAGGAAACAAGTCCCTTTATCATCATCGTTGAGGATTGTCCATTCAAGGAGTTCGGACCCATCAAGAAAATATTGAAAGGATTTGACATCAACCTCCTGATGTTCCTCGTATTCAAACCTTATTCAGAAGACGCCCTCTCGGTTGAGACAACCATCGAAGTCCTGAAAGAGGACCCAGAGTGCACTGCGATCGTATTTAGGTCACAGCCTACCAACGTGTCTCTCCTGAAGCACATTCAGCAGAATGAGACTCGAACTGCTCTAAAGTTGCAAGTGAAGAGTCTTTCCGTGTCTTCTCAGCCTGCTGCCATTGTCTTGGGCTCGCCTGTTCTATTCCTCCTCTACGAGTGCTCGGGGCGACATTTGGGGTACATGTGCAAAGGAGGGAAGTAAAGTTGCAAGTGAAGAGTCTCTCCATGTCTTCTCAGCCTGCTACCATTGTCTTGGGCTCGCCTGTTCTATTCCTCCTCTACGAGTGCTCGGGGCGACATTTGGGGTACATGTGCAAAGGAGGGAAGTATTGCACTGGTTATGCGAGAGTTGCATCCTCCCTCTCTCTAGCTGCACATAAAGGGAAAACAGATGATCAGCCTCACATCTTAGTTTCAGATGAAAACCTGCTCGGATTCTTGAAATCTGTGGAAACCTGTTGTGGCTTCCAAGTGGCACATCCGAAAAACTTCCGGGGATGCGAGGCTTCAGTCGTCATTGCTGTGAATGTGAGTGACGAGTGGCTGCTGGAAGTGATCTCACGCTCCAGGACTCAACTCATAATCATCGACACTCTCCCAAACCATCAAGACCTCTGGGAGTCCATGAGACAAGAGGAACGTGTGGATGCTCGAACTGGATACTTTCCTGACGGCATTGAAGACAGAAGAAGCCTACTGAGTCTTGATGAGAAGAAGTTTCTTTGGGTATGCAGTCTCTCTCTCCACCTGAGCCTACCTCTTTTTTCCTGTCTCTATTGCATGTCTTATTATGTGGTCTTTGCTGTGACTACAATAACATTTGGAATTCTAAACTATATAGTGAAATTAAATTAAACCACCCTTGAGAACATTTAAAATGGAGCAGCACAATGTCTTTTGTGACTGAATTCATAGTAGAACATCCGTAGGATCTGGAAGCGAAGGAAAACGAAGTATCAAGAGGATGAGAATCTGGATCTCATGATCTGGATTTCGTCTAAAAAGACTTCGTGCTACAATGTTAATGGATGACATGAGAGCTATCATGTTACCACTCTAAGACGAACAATCGGATGCGAAACAAAGGTAAAGAAGCTGTTGATATCACGTCCACGTGTATTTATGGAGAAAGCCTTTCCATAACGAATACGTAAGTGCTGTCGGCAGATCTATATCACGACGACTGGATAATAGAACTGTGTCGAGCATGGGGATATAAGTTTTATTTGAGCTTAGCGGCTTAGACTTAGGCTCTTAGCGGCTTTACCGAGCGCTAAGGCCTTGCTCTCGGTACAGTGTACGATATCATCTATTATAACTTCTTTATAAAAAAAGAAGAATCTCTGCTGTAGTACGAAGGAAACTTTCAGAACTGGATTAACCCTTTCATGCCTAATGGTTCCTGTTGGAACCATCAACTTTCCAATTTTTGCCATTGTATGCATCGCTGCGAGCTATCGTCAACATTGACTCATCAGGCCGGTTCCTGCCAGCAAGATTAAGATGGCAACGGCTTCATTTTATCAGTGTGAGTCTTGTAAACGTCTCGCAAGAGCGCATTATTATCCTCTGCCTGAGTTCGAGGCAAGTTCCTTCTTATAAAAACTCAGGCATGAAAAAGAGTTAAGTGTTCAAAAGCCCCTTGTCCGCAGCATCTTTAACGAAATTAGCGCTGGGGGGATTAATTTACTCAATAGTTTCGCTTGGGAGTGAGATCTGGGTTTCCCGAATTTCAACAAAATCAGAGCAGATGTGGATGGAACGGAAACACCTTGATAAATCCCAATGTCGAGGAAGTTCCCAACGACCCCTATGGTGGGCAAACCTATGGGCACAGTATTCTGTGATCATTAGGGAATCATGCCACTCCATTTCTTAGAACATGTTACCTCTGCCACAATGACTTATTTTGTTCAATGACCTCCATTTACAAGACATGCCCTTTACAGAAAAGGATATGAGGCGGGGTGAAGTGGAATATACAGGTGGGGGTATAGAAATTGTTGCTGGTTGGTTGGGGAGATATTCAATACATCAGTCATGCGGTTGAGATGTATCAAGTTGTATCAATACATTCGTGAGCAGCCGATTCCTTGTGAGTCCCAGAATGGCGTGAAATGCAACTCGCTAAGGGAACCTGCCTGAATTGAAGGGTGCAGTCTGCGCAGATCATACATAAGGGAACAATAATTAAAAAAATAGGAAGCGAGGTTAACAGTGGCAGCCTGTTTGGTTGCTTTTTGGATGACCTTTTGTACTTTTTGAATCTCGTAAAATTGGCATTCAGTAAACTATTCTCCATTTATTCTCTTTCCATGTCGATCATCCTCTCTTCATCTTTCATATTGCGTGTTTCATTTCATCCTGATTTATTTCGTGTATCCTCAGGATTCGTCTTCTCCCATGGAAAGATGTTATAAAGGGCCTGACCTTCCATGAATTGCTTTACAGACGCCAACCTGGGACAAGGTGGGGGAACGGATTGGAGAGGAAGCGGTGAAAAAAGCAGGTGTCCTCGACAAAAATACTGGGAAAATCCTTTGCTTCACTCCCGAGGACTTGGACAGTATTTTACTATTATCCTCGTCCTTGACCCCCTTTGACGCATGGGGATACGCATGGGGTGGTGAGTGGAGGATTCCATAGAAATACCATTTATTCCCATCGGTCCTGTGGGAAAATGGCAGATGTTGCGATCGGTCTGTCAAAGAGATATGGTAATTATAACTACTGTAGACTGGACATGTCGATGGGATAAGTGCTGCAGTCGCGCGCCAAATAGGAGCGGCCGCCATCCCTCATGCCATCAGACATACCAAAATATACATAGCCTTCAGCATTACAGGAAAACTTCGTTAATTCGAAATCCAGGGACCAAAAAATAACGATTTCCAAGTAAGCGAGTACGAATTATCCGCTTTGGCCATTGTTATTTTGTAATACTGTACTAAATCCGCGTGTTTTGCGCCGCATATTCTCTTTTGTTGGTTTCATGGCCACCTTCTGCCAGCTCTTCAATGGTGCCACGGTTTTTAAGGAAGGTGGATAGGGTTGAAAGTGGTATGCCGAATTCTTTTGTGATATCGGATTTCGATTTTACTTTCTTGTCCACTTCACAAATAACTTCCAACTTCTCTCAAATACTTAATTGTTGTACCTCCTATTGTTCGCCATGGCAAATTCACCCGTTTCACTCACAACACACACACAGAGAGGGAGAGAGACTGACCGTGCTGTCGCAATGAAAAGTTTTTTGACTGAAGGACGTGCATGATATAGGCAAAGGTAGAGGTGAAGATGTAGTGAAAGGGGGCTTTAGTCTATATTTCTAAATCTGAATTTAAAAAAAGAAGTTTCCAAGGCAATTAGCTGACTTACAGCCATTTAAGAGTGCAAGGTTTCAGACAGGTCATCTGTAGGTCGTAGGGAAAAGGATCCTTCGAAGTAAACGAACACGTTTCTGAGTTGTAGCTCATGGGATCAGAAAATGCCTTTCGAATTTCATAGTGATTTGTATGCTTTCTAGTACGGATAATTCGAAATAAGGATACTATCTTCTCGGACGGGGAACAGAAATGACTTCGAAGTATCCGATACTTCGAACTATCCGATATCGAGTTAACGAGGTTTTCCTGTATCACTTCCCGCTCCACTTCGAGATTAGATATCACTATAGTAGTGGAGATCTCATTCAACCCTGAATTGAAATAAGTGTGTATTACCTCATCAGAAGAGAATCCGAATCCCATTGCGATATAAACGAAAAAAAACTCACAAAACTGTTGTCTTCCTTACGAGGTCCTAGATGTACTTAGGCCACTTACTTACTCACTTACGTACTTTTTGCCGTCGTGTCCCTGTGAGTGTTGACCAGTTATATAATTTTTCCCCCCTCATTTAGGCTACAAAGTCTCCACATTTCGGTCCTTCCTCAGGGAATGAAAAATTAGTCAAAAAAGAAAAATGGCAAGAATATAGGGGCAGTAAAAAATTGCTAACAAATGGAAAGAGGGGAAGGGGCAAGTAAATATAACCTAGTAGTGAAGACGCGTGAGATAAAAACCCTAAGAGTGGTTAATTAAAATGAGACTAAAATTAGAGAAGGTAAGGGGATAAAACGGGTGTAAAAAGGTGAGATACGCAGAACTGGAGTCGGTCTCATGACAGAAGCAAATGGAAGAATGAGTCAGAAAAAGAAAATGGGGGGAGGGTGAGGAATATGCGTGGGAAGGGTAGTCAATGGGAATTCATGACCGGTTTTAACATTCCTATGCAGAATGTTTCGCGTTGCCTTCAATAAGACGGTTCCGCTAACCTTACTTTTTCAATTGGGAGGATAGATAAATGTGTGTGTCGGTGTCCTGGATTATGAAAATGAATTCCTGTAGGTACCTTGTAATTANCCAGGATCTACATGAATCCGGTGAATGAATGAGTGAGTGCATGAAAAACGGCAGCACAGGGACACTCACAACTGATCACTATATTAAAAAGGGGGGAGTAAATCCGATGTTTCAGAGGTGTAAAGCCGCCTTCCTCAGGGAATGAAAAATTAGTCAAAAAAGAAAAATGGCAAGAATATAGGGGCAGTAAAAAAATGCTAACAAATGGAAAGAGGGGAAGGGGCAAGTAAATATAACCTAGTAGTGAATACGCGTGAGATAAAAACCATAAGAGTGGTTAATTAAAATGAGACTAAAATTAGAGAAGGTAAGGGGATAAAAAGGGTGTAAAAAGGTGAGATACGCAGAACTGGAGTCGGTCTCATGACAAGCAAATGGAAGAATGAGTCAGAAAAAGAAAATGGGAGGGGGAGGAATATGCGTGGGAAGGGTAGTCAATGGATTAAGTACTGGCCAAAATTGTAAGGATACGTCTTACAAAGCGCAACGGAAGTTATTCTGCCAAGGCGATTGGAATGAAAAAGTTAACCCTCCTATCTATTTACACACACAGCCACAGGACCTAATACAAAATGAATTCCTGTAGGTACCTTGTAATTAAGCATTGCATAAGGAATATTCTCATTGGCGCGATCAGAAAATGGTCTACACGTTTTCCCCACATATTGTATTATAAAGGATTAGTCTTGGTGTTGAGGAAGTATCTGCATGCATCGATACCTTTGTTATGGGGAATATATGTATACAAAGCTTGAACATTACTGTGGCGAGAGCCACAGCGGGTGGTAACCCTTTCATATTGATGTCCTCCAGATGTGATGAGAAGTCACTTGTGTTGCGGATGGATGATGGTAAGTGGGGTACAAACGGGGCGAGGTGGAAATCGACAAAACGAGAAATCTTTCAGTCGCTGTTCCCAGGGTACTGAGAATGGGTCTGCCAGGGCAGCCTCTTTCTTTTATCTTAGGCAAGATGTAGAAAATGCCTGACTTCTGGAGCATTTTTGAGGGTGTATGTGATTGGTGATATTAGAGCTATAAAGAGGACCTCTGTAATGTATAAATCATGAAGAAGTGAGTAACAGTTGGCTTTTTCCCACTAATTTCTGAGAAACCGACAAAGGTAACATTTAGAGGGTATCAGCATATTTCATGTGGGCACTTAGTCTAGAAGTGATTTCAAACAGTAACGCCCCCTCCATCTTTCCAGGAAACCCAGGGGAAGCGCTTCAGACTGAAGAGAGGAAGGAAATTATTAAGAACCTTGAACTGCAGGGAGTAGATTGGGAGCCAAAGCACAGGCCCCCAGTGGCGTTGAAGATCCGGAGTAAAGGAGTCGGACTCCTTGAGTCCCTTTCCGTCAGTCTCACGGGGTCGCTCCTGCATCTTCCTCTTCTCAAGGTCTGTCTTTGCCTTTTCTTTCTCCTCTGATTTTTTTTTTTCCTGCTGGAAGGGAAGCAACTGTGAACTTCATGATTTTGAGAAAGCGAAAAAGAAAGAAAGAAAGCCAGTAGGATCCAAGGGCACGGTATCTTGACTTGTGTAAGAAGCACACAGGCTTTCTGTGGGAAGTTCACACAGATGCTGTGGGAGCTGGAAACCATTTTACGCCTAACACCGGAAAAGGGCAACAAGACCAGGAGACTCAAGACTTCGCCATGGGTCCTCCTTCTTGGGACTGAAATTCATTCCTCCAGATAAATGCCTAACGGCATCCAGGCTCTTTCAGCTAGTCTCTGCTGAAAAAGCAATGCCGGGGTCAATAACTCTTGCATGAAAGAAATTTCTCACAGCTTTATTTTCCCTTTATGATTATATTTTTCCTGGGAGAGGTTTTCCTCAGTGTTGTCTTCATGAAGAACGCTTTTCTCTTCAAATGGGAACTTCCTCGATGAGCGCCAACTAGACTCATGCTTCCCTTAACTGTACATGAAAAACTTTCCTTCAATTGCGATTTGAATATCTCACTGAAGTCGGGAAAGCAAAAGTTGCAGGTAGAATGTAATTATGATTCCCTCCAGGTCAAAGTATGACAAGAAGGAATCTCTCTGGAAACTGGCTGCAAGCAGCTTTCGGTTCTGAGAGCTCCTTTTATAGCTTATTACAAAATACTATACCACCAGATAATATTGCAAAGAAGTAGAATGTTTCCTGAAGTGATCCGCCGATCTGATAATTCTCTTTACTTCATGTCAGCCCTCATAGAAGTACGTGTCCACAGATTTTCAGGCACTGTAATAATGCATGGTTATGGAGTTTTTTTGGTCATTTCCCCCATGTTTTGAGTTATTGTAGGTTGGAGCTCAGTTGAATTTTGAAATCCCTGGTGAAACGTCATTGCAGATGTGCTTACAGAAAAGAATAGAAGACGAAGATCACTCGAATTTACCTGTGTCGAAAGGCTCAGATGCTGGGTCCATGTCAAATGGAGAATTGGAGTCAAATATATCGGACACTCTTCTTCATCAAATCCAACTGGCAGCAAATATATTCAAGAGGTCAATAGTACTCATTGGAGATGGTCTATCTTGTGAGTCTCTTCGATGTCACCGATTCTTTTCCTTATTAAGAAAAAATTATCCTTCCATGATTCACATGTGAAATAACTTTATTTGAAACAAAGTCAGTGAATAATATTCATTCGAATATGTGAAACATAATGCAACCAAGTGGTCCGACCAAACAAACAACGATGAGTTTGTGGGGTATATTCAAAACCTTAGAATTTCAAAGAATGAGGTTTTGAGGTTGGTTTTCACAGCTGAGGGTTTACGTGCAGTAGCGGTGTCAAACAGGGCCCGTGACGGTGGGCTCAGCATCAAGGAATGCGGCCTGCTCAACGATATGAGTTGACACCCGATATACAGTCATCTTCGAAAGGAATTAGTTCATCGAAGCCAGTTAGATTTTCAATGTTTTTTTTTTGTTTCGGGAAATGCCTTCTGATTGATGGAAACAAACTGGAATCGTAGCTCTGAATGTCGTTTGACTGAAGCGGTCCAACTCGACCGCGTTATGAGTTCTATCGTGCAGTTAAAGCGGTCTAATCCGACTGCGTCACAAATAACACTTAAGAGATAGACACATCCTTCGCGTAGAGCGCTCAGATTCAAAAGCGTGGTGAGACACTCCAAGAATGAAAGATCAAGGCATATACAATCGTTTCATTTAGACCAGGGGTGTCAAACATATTGCCTGTGGGCCTGATCTGGCCTGCGGATGTGGTTCATCCATCCCATCGCCTGTTCTTGAAACTCAGCCTGGATTGACTCTCAGCATCCTCCGCGAACGATCCTATGGATGCGGCCCGCACACCGCTGCAGGGTAAGGAATGCTGCCCACCGACTGGTTTTTGTTTGACACCCCTGATTTAGACTGAGACACAGTCGACTACGACCTCAATAGAGTGACTATCGAGAAATTATTGATGAATTTAGTCGAATGTATTATTGAATGTATTGCAGTTATATCGGTATATACTGTATATTAGGGAATAGATAATGCGGTTGTTCACGAACGCTAAAGACAAGGAGTAGACTAACATGTTTTGTCTGGCTATAAAGGAGGAAAGAACCTGTAGCTCGCTTTCAGGCTTACGGGTATACCACTAACATTCTAAGTTCACCAAGACGCATGCTGAGAAAGGGACGAAGATTTTGTGACAATGCAATGTGTGCCATCAAAACTGGCTTCGTGACTTGTCATTGGCGTCTAAAAGAGTGGCGAGCAAAATGGTGCCTTATGATCATATTACTTATCTACTGCTTGCCAATAACATAAAATGTAATTGTAAGTTGCCATCCTAAATAAGTGCCATACTATTAGCTTTTATATCCTCTTGAGGTCCTGCACATGCAGATGATGGTACGAGTTTTCTGGATTCCATGAAGATGTTTGAAAAAAAAACTTTTTAGGCACCTTTCGTCCTGAAGATGAAGGAGATGGGGAAGTGGACTATAGGGGTATTCTGCTTTTTGCCAGAAGAAACCTCCAGTCCAAGCCTGATGACAGCCCTCCGCCCATCTCCATACTGCCTATTGTGCCTCATTGTAGTGAGTCATTGATTACAGTGTTCTATCATTTTTTTATTAGTGTTTTCTTGAGAAATGTTGTGATATTAATATTCCCTGTGAACATAGAACCTATTGACTGCTAAAACTGGAACAGACAACAGAAAATGAGAACCAGGTGGATAAAGTGTAACTAAGGTGTGGTAGGTCCCCAATGATAGGCGTTAACTATGTACATGGTCCACCTAAAGTCGTGACGGGATTTTAAACTTGAATGAGTAAAAATCATAATTACGTAATCGAAAATTGTTTATTGCCAATTAAAGGGTACACCTGGGAGATATTATATTGCATGTTAGTTTATGAATATAACATCTTTTAAATGCTTTCCACGGTTAGCCACACATTGACGTGCTCGAAGAACTGCACTTTCCATGACAGAAGCCAATGTGTGGAGAACATTTAAAAGATGTTATACTCAAAAACTAACATGCAATATATCTCCCAGATGTACCCTTCAGTTGGCAATAAACAATTTTCGATTATGTACTTAGGATTTTAAACTTAAGTAAATATCCCATCACGACCTTTTCGCAGTCCCTGTATAAGTTATGGGTCAATGTAACTTCTCTTCTTCAAAGGAAATTTTTCTAATTTTGCTGGAAAGAAAAGGCTTGTTAAGTTTATTTCAATATCATTCCAATATGTCACTTATTGCAAAAAGCAAGTAGCTCTCCATTCATGAAAAAAATCAAATCAATCAAAATCTGAGCGCGTATTTTATAACAAAATGATTGGATCCCAAGTATGCACCTAAATGTGCGTGCACTGTCGTAAGTCATTTTGTGTGATACAAATCGGACGAGCCACCAAAGCCGTCTATTCATTAGAAACAAAGTCCAAAATGTTTGTGTCCTTCGCTCCTTCCCTGTAGACTCCTTGACGGAGCAGGCATTAATAAGCCTTGCTTCCCCCCACCCAGAGTACGTCTTGCGTCCACCCTTGTCCTCTCTTACGTTAGAGTGCGTCTCGCGCCCGGCTGACCTCCCACGCTCTGGTGAGGCATTGATGTCAAATCATGAAAACCGACCTCCACGTCTGGAATACGTTTTGATTTATTTAAGCCCTCTCCCACTGGAGGAAGAACGCATAGTTGATAACACTACTGGCAAAATGTAAATGCATAGAATGGCATAAAATGACGAACGAGCCGTGAGCATGTCATGAAGAAAGTAATTGGACTATGATAATAAATAGATAACGAACAATACAGTTCGAATGCTGAGCTTCGAACACGGACGGTCCTCGTTGTCCTTAAATTAAAAGAAACACCCTCCGTTTCTCCTTGCTGCCTGCCCTCCGATGACATCAGGCCCATTCCTGGCGCTCCAATACCGTTTGTAAACACGGCACCTCCCGATGGGAAAAACATTTCCACTCCTGTGCTTTCGTGTTGCATCGTACATCGTCCCTGAATGGCATAGCGTATAACAAAGGTAATAAATTACAATCTATGAAAGGATATACCAAACTGACGGATATGAATTACGCCGGACCTGGGCAGCCGGGGTGCAGGCATTGGGGAGGCTGTGCCTGACCGAGTTGAGGCAGGAGGCGATGCTGTTGGGCGAAGGCGATGGCGGCCTTATCGTCCCTGAGATATGATGTCAGAGAGCATGTCTGGATCCCGTGACATGGTGAGACGATTTGATTGGGATGAGTGATGTGATGAGTTCGATGACGTTTGGAGGATTGACAGACGACAGAGCTTCTTAGTTGCTTATATATGCCCTGACCAGTTTATGCAGTACAAGGTGAGGGGAAATGATCCCGATCGTTTTGGGTATAAGTGTTTATGATGAAGATCATCCCTGAGCAAGGTGAAAGGAAGGAAGGGAAAACGCAAGGAAATTCTCAAATGACTGCTCGAGAACAGTGGCTCGGTTCGGGACGGTAAGGCCTTGCCCGTGCAGTATTTTACGCTGGTAGTGAAGATGGCTCCAACGGTCCCCACTTTACACAACAACAACTTCCTCACGTGTGCCATGTTGGGCTTTGATAACCCTATTGCATAGGGCATCTTGCCTTAGTGTGCGCGAGACGTACTATGCGAGTGCACACTGTGTGCACGGTGGTCTGGTGGTGTGCGCAAGACGTACAATGCCCGACGGAGCACTCCATGCTTAACATTTTTCAGTCGCAACATTCGACCTTTCGACTGAAAAGTAGACAAATATGGTAAAATGCTTCGATTGTAAGACCAATCAGAATTGATTTCTGGCTGACCCTGATCCTTCAGATCTTGCGAATAAAAATTTCCGCCATGTCTTCCTCCTTCCAGCAAAAATATTAAGAACGTTGTCTTCAGCAACGCATTTGGGAAAGTGATTTTTAAAAGTTTGTGAGTTCTCAATAGCATTCAATCACAAATTGAATATCCAGTAATGCATTAGTAGAATGCAATAACTTCAAGCACTCGATCGGAAGTCCTCCAGACTTCTTTGGGTGCTCATGTGGCTCTTGGCTTCTGGACCTGTCGATGTTCTTAGCCTGCCAATAGAGTGAATATTCTAGCGACTTACAGTTTCCAACATTTTTCGCCGCCAACTTCTAATTTGCATCACGGCTGATGGTTCTCTTCCACGTTCCCTTCGAAAACATCGATGACTCTCAGAAACTTTCCCGTTCGTTATGTCCAGGATGCTTATCTAACTTTCTCTTATAACGTAAATTCCATCACGCACTTTTTCAAGCACTGTCTTTTGCAAGGAGTTTTTGACTAAGAAAATCGTTCGTAATTAGCAAGCAAAATTAGCAAGAAAACTTAACAAGTAATCTTAACTCCAATATTGGACGTCCTTTCTGGGACATCCTATATATCATTCTCACTTTCATCACCCTCCTCACTTCTTTCATATCCCAAGAGGGTGGAAACGTGTGGATGGAGAAGCTGCCCCCGTTGCATAGAGAGCCAAAATTCCCCTATACATCGACTAGAATCTTATTCCTGGGGAAGGTGAGAGTGACATGGAAGAAACACACTGTCATCTTGTTGCAGTCGTTGGACAGAAAACTGGCAGGATTACCACCACGTGACCCAGGTAAAACGGTTTAGATGATTGTAGCCTCTCTCTCCCTTCTCACCTTGCAGTGCCAATAATGTCACCTCCTGTTAGGAATGTCAAACTCTTTATAATAGCAATCTGCGCCAGATGCCTGCATTCCTGACTTCTTATCTTTGAGATCACTGATGAGTTTACTCAACCTCTACCTGACTATTTTAAAATTAAATTTAAAAAAATACTAAGTAACATTTATCTTGATCTGAAACAAAACAATACTAGGTATTTGAGCTTAATTTGAGCAAGTAATATGATGCCTACTTTCGGTTCAAAGTAAATTGAAACCGTCCTGAAAGACATCAATTGATGAAGCTCAACCCTGTGGCATGGGAAGTCATGAAAGCCAACTAACAATATTGGGATTATCTTCCCTTCGCAAAGTACAGGAAGGCCCCCATAAAATGTACATCTGCATCCACATGGGGTAAATGGCAAGGTGAATTAGAGGTGGATTTGGAACCAGGCGGATGTGATCCACTTGAAAATCCATCTTGTTTCTCTATGTATACTACGAACCAGGTGGATGTTTCCCTCTGAATGAATTTTGAACCAGTTGGACATCCCTCTCGCAAGTTTATTTATGTTGATAGAGGCATCCAGTCGGTTCCAATTCCACCCAGGGATCGAACATATTTAAAGGAGAATGTTGGTGAGTATGATGTGGACGCACATACTCAGATCCCCCTCTGCCCTGTCATCACCACTGGTGCAAGAGCTACCAATGACACATTACCTCCATTATTATGATCTCTCACAGCGCAACGACAAAAGAACAACATCGGAACCCCCCACATCATAAGAAATCTTATTCAAATTCGCAGACAGTTTCTAGGCCATGACATACATTTGTGACACTTTGGCCACGTTTCTTTTGTCCGTACAACATGTTACGCTAGAGTTTACGGTGGGTTTAGGTTATGGTTGGGCATGACACATGAGAACATCAGGTAGATCTTCAGGAGCAGAATAAATAAGTTTTAAAGATTCTCTGAATCGGTGAATGTATGCAAAAGCTACTGAAGAAAAACTATTTAAAAAAAACCACAATAGTCCTAATGAACAGAAGTGAAAACATCTGAAAATTTTCTCAAAGCATGAGTGGTGCCCAGAATTCAATGAGGTGAAAAGGACACCTCTATAAAGAGTATCATATATCCCAGTTACATTAAATTATATATACCAGGTGAGGAAAAAACGCGCCTCCCTGCGATTCTTTGTTGTTCATGAAATAACAGAGAGCACGGCAAAACATTTAAAACCCCTCCTTTTAAAACCTGTAACTTTTAAACGTCCGATATTGTTCATTTTTCTCGAGCCGTTTTTCCTCACAAGAAATAATAGGAAGGAAACTTGAATTTTATTTTTGCAAGCGGAAACCAATCGGCTGGAGTGCGGCTGGTACTGGCGAGAGCCACATCGAAAATTTCTGAAACGTTGTGTGGAAAAACTTGATCATATACCTGTACTCATCGCCAAAAAATAGCCCGACTAAGGAGTTGAGCGATTTTGATTTTAAAAAATTTAGTACACAACCATGTACTATGTAATGATTATGAAATTAATTACAGTTTAAATTGTGTGGAGTAAATATATAAGGATAAAATTAGCCAATTACCCAATTTCAATGGCAACCCCACGAGTGGGGTCATACTAGTCGCCGGAAACAATTACCTAAAAGGTTTTCATTTATGAAACATGGCAAGGAAACTCCTGAAGATTTGTAGAAAAATCAAGCAAAGTTTCGAGATCGTGAGATGGGCTAAATGCCAGAGGAACTGGAGAAGTGTGGGGAACCATCGAGCCACCTCAACGTAGGGCTGTAGTTGAGTGCCTACCTGCGAGGCTGTGCCAAGATGAGATCCCTGGACGTAATTTCAACATGTTAAGTTGTTCGTTCTATGGAGGGTAATAGGCTTACCATGCATCAACCTGATGCATGAAGCTGATGTATGCTTTGGAAAGCTTCACGCGACTCGAGTCCATTTATTCTCGAAAACTCTTGACACAAATTTTCTATTAACGTTGACAGAGATATCGAGCTTTGATGAGATGATTAGAATCCTGAGATGATCCTGCCAGGTGTATGTCTTGTTGGAGTCTTCTTGGTTTCCAACTTAGTACGTGATAGGGGATGTTTTTTATTCTGAAGGGTGTATCGAAGTTTTACCTATCACCTACAAAGTTTTAGTTAAAATGACGTCGCCCCCCCCCTCCCTCCCTCGTGCATCATCCGCTCTTCCGTGCTCCGTCTGAATGTAACCACCCTTCCTCTCCTTCCTTTCCAGAGAATCTCGTGCCGGAAAAGAGACGCCAACTCGTTGATTCATTCGGTAAGGGCGACATTCACCACTTTATTTTCATAATTTACTTCGTCACGATGCAACCACCTCTTCTCCCCTCGGTTCCCAGAAATACTCGACCCGAGGGAGAGACGCCAACTCGTCGATGCATTCGGTAAGACGACGTTCGTCCGACGCTCGCGATCGCTTCCGTTTCCCCGTTGGGTGATGACACGATCGTGGAGTCTCTCTTTCCTCTCCAGACGAACTCGGCCCGCTGAAGACATCCTCACTCCTGCGTCATTTCCGTAAGACGTTCGCCCGACCGGTCGCAGTCGCGTGCATTACCCTACACTCCCTTTCTCTTTACTCTTTTGCTTCCAGACGAACTCGGCCCTGTGGCGACGGCTACGTTTCGGAGTAGCTTCAGTAAGAACCGCGTTTCTCCTGCCCGTCCCCGATCGCATGCATTTCCTTCTTCCGTTACGAAGCGATAACGTCTCTCTTTCCCTTCCAGACAAGCTGACGGAAACAGAGGCGTGGTACCTCCTGGAAAGATTCTGTACGTATAACGTTCGCAAAACCGCTCTCGATCCCATATATTTCCTTGCCTGTTATCATATCTTCTTTCCTTTCTATCGAGACGAAGTCGGGCCGGAGGAGACCAGGAAACTCGTGGATTCCATCGGTAAGAACGACGTCGTCCCGCCCTTTCACCGCATCCTTTTATTCCCCGGTCCATCGAGACGCCATCTCCTATTTTCGTTTTTCGTTTCCAGACAATCTCGGGCCGGAGGAGAGACGCCAGCTCATTCCTTCTTTTGGTGCCTGAGTCATTCGCCACCCTTGTCTTTTCGGTGTCTTCCACTTTCGCCCCCGAGACTTAATTCGAAAGATAGTTGCTAAATATTCCCTTTTGTCTCATCTCGATAAACGGGGCGAGAGTGCACAGGGGCGAATTTCCAAACATCGATTTCGTGACTGATGACTACGTCAACCCTTTAAAAGGGCAGGTCGGGTTAACTCCCAGTTTCACTTTCCCACCCGTGTAAGATGGATACTGAAAATGACTTGCAGTGGATAGAAACTATAGTCCCTCGTGGATTCAGAAATCATTGTTTCTGTGAAGAATCTCATGCAGCAGTCAAATGGTGCTTAATAAAAATTGCATCTGAACGAACTGCTTCCGAAGGAACCGATGGTCTACCCAAATGACGGCACATAATGCAGGGCTATGTCAATTTTTCTGATCGATTTCGTTCGTCCGAAATAGATGGATTCTGGAGACGGTGAATCCTCGCCTAACAGTCCCTGCAATTCTTTTTCTTCTTCATCCTGGCACCCCCAGTCTCCAGCACGACCGGCAGCGATTCCACGTGCGATTCTTCTAAATCAAAGCCACGAGTTCAAAAATGTTTAAGTGGCGCTTCTGAGCACGTATCGGTATCCGTCTTACACGGGGAAGGATAGTTAAACCGGGAGTTGACCTTGCCTCCTCTTTGTAAAGGCTGAGGCAGATATGGGGAAATCGGACGTGAAAATCAGGCGTGGAAAGTCGCCCCTGTGCACTTTCGCCCCGAGGTAGGTCAAAGATTAAATCACGTTGCGATTCTTGTCGATCGGAATGCGGGGGCGAAAGTGGTAGCGAACGTCTTTTCCAGGTTCGATCGCGATTTCATCGACTCTTCTCTTTTCCCTTTTTCAGAGGAATTCGGGCAGGAGGAGATATGCGAACTCGTTCGAGCTCTCGGTAAGGAGGACGTTCTCCCGACGCAAGCATTTCCACCTTCCTTTACGATGCGATCGCGTTTTCTCTCTTCCCTTTCCAGAAAAACTGGACTCGGACGAGGCAGGGAACCTCCTGGAAAGTCTCGGTGAGCATCCACTTTTCCCTCCGCCTCCCGTCGCGCCCATTTCCCTACCGCGTCGCGATGCGATCATCTCTTCTCTCTTTCCAGGCAAACTCGAACCGGAGGAAAGAGTCCACCTCGTCGATTCGTTTTGTAAGGACGACGTTCGCCCCATCCGCCCCCGACGCGACGCGTTTCTCCGCTCGTTCGTATATCGCGTCCGACTTCTTTCCTTTCCAGACAAACTGGGAGAGTACGAAACGAGGAAGCTCCTGGAAAGCTATAGTAAGGAGGACGGTCGCCCTTGCGTGCATTTCCACGCCTCGTCGCGATGCGATCACGAATGGTCTCTTTTGCCTTCCAGACGGACTCGGGCCGGAGGAGAGACGCAAGCTCGTCGACTCGTTCGGTAAGGACGACATTCACTCTGCCCGCCGACAGATCGCACGGGCTTCCCTGCTTCGTTACGATGCGATCTCCTCTTCTCTTCCCTTTCCAGACGAATTCAGGCCGGAAGAGAGACACGAACTCGTTCCATCTTTAAGTAAGGACGACGTTCACCCCCATACAAATCCATTAACCTGCTCCGTCACGTGAGATGAACTCTTCTCTCGTTCTCTTCGGGAAAAATCAGGGCCAGAGGAGAAACGACGGCTTGTTGATGCATTCGGTAAAGACGGCTTTCGCCCCACCACACTTCACTCGCACTTTCCTCTTCCTTCGTGGTGCGATCGTTCCCCTTTCCTTTCCAGAAAGTCTCGGACCGGAGGAAAGAGGACGGCTCATCGATTCGTTGGGTACGAGCGACGGTTTCCCTCCCCCACCCCAGCCGTATGAATTTACATGCGATGGCCACTTTTTTCTTTTCTCCTTTCAGGGAAACTCGGGGAATACGAGACATGGAACCTCTTGCAAAGTTTCAGTAAGGATATCCTCGCCCAATCCCCTACCGCATGCATTTTCCTGAGCCATCATGCTATCGACGCTTCTCCCTTTCCATTCCAGACAAACTTGAAGAGAATGAGAAATGCAAATTCTTGTTCATTTTCAGTAAGCATGTTATTCGCCCCCTTACCCGATTACTTGCTTTGCTCTGGTCCATCATGATGTGATAACCTCCTTTCCAGGAAATCTCAGGGAGGAGGAAATACTTCTGCTCATCGATTCCTTTGGTACGAACGACGGCTGCACCCCCCCCCCGTAAGACATGGATTTTCCCGGCTTGATGACACCTATTCTCTCTTCTTTCCAGACAAACTGGCGGAGGACGAGACGAGGAATCTCGTGCAACGATTCAGTAAGGACGACGTTCGCCCTACCGCCGCATGTATTTCGTTGCTCCGTCACGATGCGATCACCTGTTTACATTCCAGACGAACTCGGGGAGCAGGAGACGTGGAACCTTTTGCAAAGTTTAAGTAAGGGGAACGTCCGCCGCCTCCTTACTTCACGTGCATGTTCCCGCTCCGTTTCGACGAGACGACTTTTTTTCCCTTCCAGACAAACTCGAGAAGTACGAGGCAATAAATCGCCTGCAAAACTTGAGTAAGGATCATATCGCTCCCTCTCGCATGCCTCTCCCCGCCCGGTCGTGATGCGACCACCTCCGTTCACGTTCTAGACAAACTCGAGGAGCTCGAGAGATGGACCCTCGTGCGAAGTTTCGGTAAGGACGACGTTCCCTCCGTTCCCTCCTGCACGTGCCTTAGGCTGTCCCACCGTGATGCCATCACCGCTTCTCTCTCTCTCTCTCTCCTCTAAAGAGAATCTGACGCCAGAGGATAGAGTTGAGTTTTGCGTGTCATACGGTGAGGACGACGTTCGCCCCCTCCCGTGTCGCTTGCATTTCCTCGTTCCGGCACGATGCGGTCATCTTTTATTACGTTACTTTTTCAGACGAATTCGGGCAGGAGAAGAGACTCGAACTCATCGATGCCATAAGTAAGGAAGACGTTCGCCCCACCCTGCATCATATGCCTTTTCCTGCAGTCAAAATGGCACCTCCTCTGCTCTTTTTCAGGCGAACACGAGCCGGGTCAGAGGTGCCAGCTCATTGGTTCTTTAGGTGAGGGCATCGTTTAACAGTCCCGTCCGCCGCGCACCGCCCCGAAATATCTTTTTTTTTTCCCCTCCTTAAAAAAAAAAAGGGTTTTCTTATCTGAGACAGGGAACATAAATGCGTTTTCCTGCTCCATTAAAGAGTGACCAACTGTTTTCTAACTTCTTTCTAGAAAAGCTCGGGTCAGAAGATAGGCGGCAGCTCATGGATTTCTTTAGTAAGGAGGACGTTCGCCCCCCCCACAATCAAATCCATATTCCTGTGCTATCGTATCGATCATCTGTTTTATCTCATCTTTCCAGACACTCTCGGGGTGTATGAGACGTGGAGCCTCCTCAAAAGTTATCGTGAGACCACGTTTCCCTTATCCTATCGCATGCGTTTCCAAGCTCCGTCATGTTGCCTTCACCACTTTAACATTTTAAAATACCTTTTCAAGACGAACTCGGGGAGTACGAGACTTGGAACCTGCTGCAATGTTTGAGTGAGGACGACGTTCCGTCCCCCGTCGCATGCACATCCCCGTTCCGTCGCAAAGTCGCCGATTTTCTTCATTTTCAGACGAAGTCGGGGAGCACGATACGTGGAACCTCCTTCGAAGTTGCAGTGAGGATGTCCTTCGCACCCCACCCTCTATGCACTAACAGGATGCGATGACCTCTTCCCTCTCTTTGCTTTCCAGACGAACACGGGAATTACGAGATACAGTACATCCTTGGACGTTTGGGTGAGGGCGACGTTCGCTCGATTAGGTGCGATTCCCAGTTCCGGCAGCATGCGGTCGACCTGTTGTCTTTCATTTTCCAGACGAATTCGGGCCGGAGGGGAGACGCCAGATGATGGATTCTTTCGGTAGGCGCGACGTTCGTTCCGCCGCTCTGCGTCTCGTGCAGTTCCTTTCTCCATCATCGTTTCATCGCGTTTTCTCTCCTACATTTTCAGAGAAACTCGGAAAGGACGAGACGTGGAGACTCTTCGAAAGTTTTCGTAAGGACGACGTTCGCTCCCCTCTTTCCCCATCGTATGCATTTCCCTACCCCGTGATGATGCGATTACACCTCGTCTTACTCTTTTTTTTCCAGGAAAAATCGGACCGGAAGAGAGACGTCAGCTCATTGATTCCTTTGGTAAGGAAGATATGGCCCCCCCCTCCATCACATGCATTTCCTTGCTCAATCATTATGGGGTCACAGTGTTTCTCTCCTGTGCAGGTCAGTGCTTTTCAAAACCATACAATTTCAATATGTATTTTCTGTTTTTCTAGGAGTTTTCGCCATTTTAACAAATTGTTTTTTATATTTCAGGATTTTCGTGAAGTTGCCGTCATGAGGGTCACCTACGAGGTCGAGCAATTTTTATTTTTATTTTGCCACGCCTTGCTACGAGAAGAACTATATTCCGGGTTCGCGATTTTTTCTTCTTTATCGTGTTCCATCCGCATTTCACTGTAAGTTCTTTCTTTGCATTCGATTCGTCGTTCGTAGTCATATCATCCGAAGAGGCATGGTACGTATGTCTCGACAAAGAGAAGGAGATATAATAATTGGGTTGCAATCCCGAAAGACACACTGGTACACGGTATGCATAAAATTCAAGTCATCTTCGAGTGGATCGGATGGTATCCTGGCAGAAAAGATTGCAAGACGGGTCCTGATACGCCAGGCAAGTAATTTTACACAGAAAAGTATGGCACTCGATATGCCATCCTGAAACTAAAATGTCGTGGGCCTATGGACTCGTATTCTCTCCATTTGGAACCTTGTTCATGCTTTAAAATGGCACATTAGGACTCACAAGGGACACTACCCAAGTGATAATTTCAGATTTTCACCGAACTTTGGTCATTGAAAGGACTCTCAAAGCGAAGTGAAACGGCACCAAAACTTGCGGCAAAGAAACAGATTTAGGCTCATAACTGGCACTCTTACTTCTCAGTGGTTCAGAATTATAAAGTCACCGCCCTATTTTCATTGGCTATAACTTCTCAAGGGAAAGTCAGATTCAGGTGATATTTGACCGAAAGGTTCATGAGTCGAGGAGGTTTTTTCCCATGCCATAAGATGGTGCTGCATGCCGATAGAGAGTGCTGATGTCCACAGCAGCGCCACCTATCTACTTGCTATGTCATTTTTTAGGCATGGGGAAAAAATCTGTTAAAGCCTATGAATCCCTCTGCCAAATAACAGCTGCATCCAAGAGTTACTTCAAGAGATATGGTGAAACGAATTTGGATTCTGACTTGTAACAATTGAACTTGGTTTGGTCATAACTTTTAAAGAAATAGTAAGATGCAGCTGATGTTTGACAGATGTTCATGGGTCCATGACCTATTCGTTCCCTTGTCTGGCACATATGTGTACATATTGACAGAGGGCGCAGTGATTGCATATGCGAAGGTGAAACGTGAAGGAGCACGAGGGTCTGTACTCGCCGGTTACGAATGGGACCGATCAGATAAATTAACGAAAAAAGGAACAAGTGTTGCGAGGAGGAATTCATTGCTGGGTAAAAGATTGCCACAGTTAGTCGAGAACAGTCAGACGAGATTGCTCTCCTGTAGAAAGAAACCGAAAAAAACGCTCGGTGCTTCATCTTTTTTCAAGTGCTGAAGCTACTCCTGAGCAGCTGCCGGTTTTTCCATAGAGTTCCATCTTAAACTCTCAGTCTTCGATCCAACCTCCAAATAGTGTCCTCAAACCGTTGCCGTTAAACGAAACCGAACCATTGTCAGAGGTAAAAGAGGCCAGGCCTGCGCCGGTAACCCTCAAATTCCTTCTCCCTTTTATTTCTTGCCTCTAACTCTTTTAGGCCTTAGCCATCCTTTTGGTCAAAGGTGAAAATATAAACTTGCTGTTGTACCGGTCCGTCTTCCAGTCCTGGTTTGGAAACAACATAAGGTTAACCCCCACAAGGCAAATTCAAACATGAAATTAACTTTCCTTTTCGCAAACCCCAAGTATCATGAAACTGTATTGCATTCCGATGCATTGGAAGTTCAGTTGGCGCATGCTTCTAAGGATGCTTCTATCCTCTTGCACAATGGAATTCTTTATCGGCTTTGGGAGAAAATAATGCCAAAATGAAAAAAGTCAAGGTTTCAGCATATTTACACCAAGTATCAGGTGCTATGTAGGCTCCGATGGATTTTAAAAAGGACCAAAGAATTGGGCCTTCATAATGCACGAAATAAACGTGAGGATATTATTTTGATGTTCTTGAACTACTGGAAAATTATGCCGGGATTTAATTTTAACTTCAATCGCATCCACAAACGTATCGGAGCAGTATTCACGAAACTTCCTCGCTATGATAATGAGCCACCCGAAACATAACCGACCTCGGGAGCTGGGAAACCGATCGCCGGGTGGAAGGCAACGGGCTCATCGCGCTGGCAGCATGACGCAAGAGTCCTGTGCAAACTTCCTGCGCGTTCCATGCCATTCATTTTGCTCTTACAGGCATTTCGGCCATTCAGGCCTAAGCCTCTGCAACTTTAGCCTAACGCGCGAAGCCTATAAGGTTATGACTTTTTCGGTCATAGGCTAACCGAAGGGATGCGAGATAACGGCAATGCCGTGATCGATAGTGAACGTGTCATGCTCTCTGTTACGCGTCGTCCTACGTTCTCCATAGCCTAAGGCATATAGACTTGTAAGCGTCGGGTGAAGGTAGCACAATTCTAGACCAGAGAGTCACTCGAGACCAACGTATCGTCGTTTCTGACTGATGCGCGAAGCCTACAAGCACATCCCTTTCCAGGCCAAAGGCTACGAGGAGGGGCACGAGATGCTAATCAGTATGGCTTTTATGGATGGAGATGCTAATCAGTATGGCCAATGGATTTTACCTCTTGGACTATTCGTATTC